GTATCCTTTCACTCTACTTATTCAGTCTGTATGCTGAGTAAATAATCCAAGAAGCTGGAATATGTGAAGAAGAAAGGGGATTCAGAATTGGAGGAAGACCCATTAACAACCTGTGTTACACAGATGACACAGCCTTTCTTGCTGCAAGTGAAGAGGACTTGAAGCACTTACTGATGAAGATCAAAGACTACAGCCTTCAGTATGGATTATACCTCAACGTAAAGAAAACAAAAACCCTCACAACTTGACCAATAAGCAACATCGTGATAAACGGAGAAAATATTGAAGTTGTCAAGGATTTCATTTTACCTGGCTCCACAATCGACAGCCATGGAAGCAACAGTCAAGAAATCAAAAGATGCATTGCATTGGGCAAATCTGCTGCAAAAGACCTCTTCAAAGTGTTGAAAAGCAAAGATGTTACCTTAAAGACTAAGGTGCGCCTGACCCAAGCCATGGTATTTTCAATTGCCTCATATGCATGCAAAAGCTGGACAAAGAATAAGGAAGACCGAAGAAGAACTGACACCTTTGAATTGTGGTGCTGGTGAAGAATAATGAATATACCATGGACTACCAAAAGAACAAACAGATCTGTCTTGGAAGAAGTATAACCACAGTGTTCCTTAGAAGCAAGGACGGCGAGACTACCTCTCACATATTTGAACATGTCATCTTGAGGGACCAGTTCCTGGAGAAGGACACCATGTTTGGGAAAGTACAGGGTCAGCGAAGAAGAGGAAGACCCTCAACGAGATGGACTGACAGAGTGGCTGCAACACTGAGCTCAAGCATAACAACGATTGTGAGGATGGCACAGGACCGGGCAGTGTTTGGTTCTGTTGTACACAGGGCGGCTATGAGTTGGAACCAACTTGCGACACCTAGCAACGATAATGTTCTAGAAGCTGCAGATACAGCAGTCATGAAGCAGAGCAAGTAAATATCTCTGTGCTCGTGGACCTTATATTGTAGTGCAGTGATAGACAATAAACAAATTACATAAGTCAGATGCATATTATGTTATATTGTAATAAAAGCTATGAAGAAAAGTAAACCAAAAAAGAGGTGATAGGGAGCGTAGGAGTGACAACTTTAAGTATGGTAGCAATAAAGCATTCAGTCTTTCATTTTTAAGGGTGGCACAATAGGTTAAGCATTCAACTACTAGACAATAGGTTGGTGGTTCAAATCCACCCAAAGGAGCTTCAGAAGACAGTCCTGGCAATCAGTTTCTGAAGGTCACAGCATTGAAAACCCTATGGAGCAGTTCTACTCTATGCACATGAGGTTGCCATGAGTTACAATCAATCCGATGGCAAGTAACAACAACAAGCAGTAAAGCATCTGTCTTTCACTTTGAGTATGGTATGGAAGGTTGGTTCTTCAAAGATACCTTTAGCAGGATGAGAAAAGTCTCTTCTATTTCTAGTTTGATAAGATCTTTTATCAAGACTGTATGTTAAAATTTGTCATGTGCTTTTTGTGCATATATTGAGTTGAATGTATGGTTTCTCTTTTCTGTGTTTTGAAATAGTGAATTATATTATTTGGTCTTCAAATGTTTAAACTATCTTGAATTTTGGGGATAAACTCCATCTGGTCATGATGTATTATTATTTTTTATATTGTTCGATTCTATTTGCTAATATTTTTGTTAAGGAATTTGGGTCTATGTTCAGGAGGGATATCGGTCTGTAGTTTTCTTTCCTTAGGGAGCCCTGGTGGCGCAGTTGTTAAAGCCCTCTGCTGCGAACCGAAAGTTTGGCTGTTCAAATGCACCAGCCGCTCTGCAGGAGAAAGATGTGGCAGTCTGCTTCCTTAAAGAAAGATTACAGCCTTGGAAGCCCTGTGGGGCAGTACTACTCTGTCCTGTAGGGTCTCTATTAGTCAGAGTTGACTCGATAGCAGTGAGTTTTTCCTTTCTTTACAGGGAATTTGTCTGGGTTTTATATCAGAGAAATGCTGGCCTCATAAAATGAATTGGGAAATGTTCCTTCCTCATCTATTTTCTGAAAGAGCTTATGTAGAATTGATATGTATGTTTTCCTTAAATGTTTCATACAATTTATCAGTGAAGCCTGGAGTTTTCTTTGTGGGAAGATTTTTGAACCACAAGTTAAATTAATAGATACAGGACTAATTATGTTAGCTATTGCTTCTTAAGTGAATTTCTTTCAAGAAATTTGAACATTTTATGTTATTTAAAAGTATTAGCAAAAAGTTGTTCATAATGTTCCCTTATCATATTTTAAATGTCTGTAGAATCCGTAGTACTGTCCCTAATTTCATATCTAGTGTTAGTAACTGTCTTGTCATTTTTTCTTTTTTAAAAAAATATATTGTATTGATATGTTCGAAGTGCCAGCTTCTAGTTTAATTAATTTTTCTTTATTGTTTTTTACTTTTCTATTTTATGTATTTCTGCACTTGCCTTTTTTCTTCCTTCTGCAGTTTTTGAGATTAATTTGTTCTTATTTTCTAACTCTAAAAATGGAAACTTAAATCATTGGTTTCAGACCTCTCTTCTCTTCTAAAAACGGTTTTGTCTTATAATTTCTAAGTATTGCTGGAGGTAGGGTCACAAAGTTTGCCGTGTTGGACTTTTATTTTTATTCCATTCTAAATATTTTCTCATTTCCAGTGTGATTTATTCTTTGATCTGTGAGTGCACTGTGCAATTTCCATGTACTTGTGGATTTTCTAGACATGTTTACCTTTTGATTTTTACAGTAATTCAAATATGGGTAGAGAACACGCTATGTATTATTCAAATATTTTAAATTTGGGGGCATTTGTTTTTGGTCTAAGTATGGTCTGTCTTGTTGACTGTTTCATATGTCCTTACAAAGAATACATTTTCATCTGTTGTTGAGTGGAATGCTCTATATATGTTAATTAGGTCAATTTGTCAATTTGGTTGATAGTACTTTTCCAGATTTTCTGTATTCTTGTTGATGTTTTGTCTAAATATTCTGATAATTACTCAGAGAGGTGTGCTGAAGTGCTCAGTTATAACTGAGGATTTGTCTATTTCTCCTTCAGTTCTGTCACTTTTAGGTTCATTCATTTCCAATTCTACAATTAGGTGCATACACATTTAGAATTGTTATTTCATCTTCTTCAATTGATCTTTCAACATGATGTAATAGTCCTCTTTATCCATGGCAATATTCCTTGTTCTGTAGTCTACTTTGTCTGATACTCCCATTGCCATTCCAACTTTCTTTTGGTTAGTGTTTGCATGAAATATGTTTTCCATCCTTTTACTTTTGACTCATCTATGTCTTTATGTCTAAAATAGGTTTTATTATAGGCGGCATATACTTGGTCTTTCATTTCTTATCCATGTGACAATCTATGCTTTTTATTTGAGGTACTTAGACCACTAACATTTAAAGTAATCGTTTATATAGTTGGCTTTAGATCTACCATCTTGCCATTTGTTTTTCGGTGTGTCCCATTTGTCCTTACTTTTCCTTTTTTCTTGCATTCTTTTGAATGAATCATGTATTTATAATGGTTTTATTTTATCTTGACAATAGGTTTATTAGTTATACCTAATATTTATCTCAACTCTAGGCGTGTGTGTATGTGTGTGTGCATGTCTATTTTATATACATAATATATACACATACAATTTGCGGTGCCAGACTAATAGAGGTGGTTTCTCTCAGTTTTTACTTCTCTGAGAAAGTCTGTATTTTGTCTTCATTTTTGAAAGATTTGTTATCTTTTTGCAGGGTATAGAATTATCTTTTAGCAATATGAAAATATCGCTGCATTGACTTCTGGCATCCATACTTTTAGATTAGAAATCTTCTGTAATTCTTATCTTTTTTCCTCTCTGTCTCTATAATATTTCTTACCACCCCATCCCACCCCCAGCTGCCTTTAAATTTTTCTCTTTATCTTCCATTTTCAGCCAATGTGCTAATTTTTTTAAATCCTGTTTAGTATTTTCTGAGCTTCTTGGGTCTATAGTTTAATATCTTTTATTAATTTCAGAAAATTCTAAGCCATTATCACTCCAGTCTTTCTTCCGACTTATTCTCTTCCTCTACTCCTTCTGGGACTCCAAGTAAATAATTGTTAGATTGCTTGATATTTTCCTGCAGTTCTTGAATGCTCTGTTGGTTTCACTTTTGGTGTGTGTGTTTCAGTTAGGATAACATCTATTTATCTGTCTTCAAGTTCGCTGATTTTTTTTTTTCCGCTCCTGTTTTCCTCTCCCTCAGTTTTCTGATAAACTGATAGAAGGAATTATTTAATCGTATTTTTATCCCTGGCATTTCCATTTGGCTCTTTTTTTTATTGTTTCCATCTCTCTGAAAAAATCCCCCTATATGTTCATGCATGATCTCCTAATTCCCCACTAGTTTTTGCCATAATATACTTAGTTTGAAAATTGCTCACTAATAATGCTAACATCCGGGAAATATCTGGGTTTGGCCAAGTAGACTTATTTTAACTTCTGACAATGGGTCATTTTCTTGCTTTTGTGTGTCTGTTTGTGTGTGTGTGTGTGTGTGTGTCTACTAATTTTTTATTGAATGGCAGGCATGTGTCTTGGCCAGAAGTGGAGGCACTTCTTCTGTAAAATAGTGAATGCAAAGGTCAAATAAAGATTTCCACAAATCTCTGGTCATGTAGCAAACATCATATTACCCAAAAAATAAGTTAGAATATATCTGTAATCCACAGTGTATTTATCAGTGAAATTTTTGTAAAATCACAGCTGTGTGCTATTTTGTGTGGTATAAAAATAGTAGCAAATAATAAAATATTTATTATTGTAAATAATAGCAATATTATTTTGAATAATAGCAAAATAATAAAAGCATTAACATCATCGGTATCATCATCACCACCATCATGATCACTGATTTCTGTACACGTTTGTAGTTTACAAAGATTCAGCAGCAGTTCAACAATTATAGTATCTCACTTTCCATCCCGACTCATTGTCCTTGTAAGTACTATGTGTACCTGACACTCACACATATATCCTAAACCTGCGATTGCCAGCAGGAGAAGAAAACATGTGGTTCCCAGGTATACTGCAATAATATGCCACGGAAAGCCTGAACACAATCAAAAGGCAGGTTATATAACAAAGGCCTCAGAATTAAAGCAAAAAGAAAATTTGTTCTGGAGGTTAAGATTAATGTCACTATTTACTCAGATCACAAATATCATTGAATATTACATATGCATATACCTCTTAACATTTAAAGAACCAGGCGTAGAATATCAAACATGCATGAACACGATTGGTATGATATCATGTTTATTTTTCTTACTTGATATATTTTCAGGTAGCAAGAAAACAAAGGAAAAAATTTTACCTCTTCTTTTTTGAGCTGGATGTGTTTTGCCTTTTTGCTTCTTTGAATAGGCTTTCTTCAGAACAGAGTATACCACTGTGTCTCATTCATTTCTGAGGGCTACAAGCAAAGAAGACAACAAGAATACGTTGTGATGTTTCATAAAGCATAGTCAATTCAATTGAAAAACGGGAACATTTATCATGAAGTAATGGGGAGATCTAAATGAGTTCAAGTACAATGGTCTCAAAAAAGTGAATCGAAATATTTCTCTGGATAATCAGAAAAAGTGATTTTTTTAAATATACCTTTGTGTGCACTGTTCCTGGATGCTATTTTAATCTTGCAGAATGTTTTTAAAGAATTAAATGAATGGCCAAACTTTGATATATGTCACACTCACACAAATATCCAAATTCACATCTTTTGAAAAATTGTAGCTGATCATTTAGCACCTGCCCAAAAGGCAATCATATTCTCACACTGAGTAAACTCACCATCTTTTAGAAAGACACACACACACAATCCAATTAGACAAGCTCCTCAACTTGCCACATTGTCTTATACAAGACTCCATTTACTAATTTATCTTCTTACTTGAAATTTATAAGCACTGGAGTTCATGACTTCGATCTTATAGTCAGGAAATGTGTGCATTAGGGTTGTATCCATTCATCATACCTATTCAATCTCTATGATGAGCAAATAATCTGAGATACTGGACTATATGAAGAAGAATGAGACCTCAGGATTGGAGGAAGACTTACTAACAACCTGTGTTATGTAGATGACACAATCTTGCTTGCTGAAAGTGAAGAGGACTTGAAGTACTTACGGATGAAGATCAAACACCACAATCTTCAGTACGGAATACACCTCAACATAAAGAAAACAAAAATCCTCACAACTGGACCAATAAGCAACATCACGATAAACAGAGATAATATTGAAGTTGCCAAGGATTTCATTTTACTTGGATCCACAATCAACACACATGGAAGCAGCAGTCAAGAAATCAAAAGATGCACTGCATTAGGCAAATCTGCTGCAAAAGACTTCTTTAAAGTGGTAAAAAGCAAAGATGCCACCTTGAAGATTAAGGTGCACCTGACCCAAGCCATAGCCTCGTATGCATGCAAAATCTGGACAATGAATAAGGAAGGCTGAAGAAGAATTGACGGCTTTGGATTATGGTGTTAGCAAAGAATATTAAAAATACCATTAACTGCCAAAAGAACAAACAAATCTGTCTTGGAAGAAGTACAGCCAGAATGCTTGGAAGCAAGGATGGCAAGACTTTGTCTCACATCCTTTGGACAGGTTATCAGGAGGGAGCAGTCCCTGGAGAAGGACATCATGCTTGGTAAAGTAGAGGGTCAGTGACAAAGAGGAAGACCCTCAACGAGATGGATTGACACAGTGGCTGCAACAATGGGTTCAAGCACAGCAACGATCGTGAGAATGGCCCAGCACTGGGTAGTGTTTTGTTTGGTTGTACACAGGGTCTCTGTGCGTTGGAATAGACTCCACAACACCTAACAACAACGACAACATCTTACAGGGTGACCAAAGTGCAGAAACCATGGGATCAATGAAAAGGGGCTTGAGGAAGTAACATTAACTGAGCTAAACATCATGAATTATTCTAACAACAACCCTGCACAGTGATAATATTTCTTTTTCAGTTGGTGAAAAACAGCCTCAGAGTATAAAAAATACTTCCAAGGTCAGACAGCTTATACTTGATGATCTTCAGGTTTAATTCCAGATACATATAAACCCGAAATTATAATCCTTCATCGACACTTTGCACAGATACACAACACTTCCATGGAAATATAAAATAACTATTCTCCCGCAAGAAAAACTAAATAAATAAAAGGAAGAAAAATACTTTGAATCAGTAGAAAGATTCCTTTTCTTAGTTAACTAGTAGTGCTAAGGATAGAGACAGATACGTTCTCTCTAGCAAGACACTAGCGGGAATTTAAAGAATGGAATGCCATATTTGCTCTGAAATTTAAGGTGGATAGTAAGGGCTCAAGCTACTTTAATAACTAGGAACTATCTAAGACTCAAAATCATTTAATATTCAGGATCCTATAAAAGAAAGTTAGGTTTGATTTTGGGGTTTTCAAAATATCTCAATATTTCACCATTTAATTAGTTTGTAATTTGAGGAAAGCTGATTTGAACAAAGTGTATCAATAAATTACCCTTTGTTTTACAATAAATATTCTTTCTAATAAATGCCAAATACATGACAAATCTTGTGATAAGCAAACGTATTTTACTAGCAAGGTATTTTTGTTTATTTGCTTGTTTTTTCTATTGAATGACTGTATCCCAAAATAACCAGACAAAGAATTTGTATAGATAAAATCGGATTTCTTTTGTTAGAAATATAATTAATATTACCAAAGCAGTCAAACTCTTCCAGTTACATTTAACTTCATAATGAGAGAATCTGAGCTTTGTCTAATCTATTCCTGACCAGTTAGGTAGCAGGCACAGCTAGGAAAAAACAAAACAGATTTACGGAGTCCAAAAAGGTATTAAATATCTCAGGATGAGAACAATCACGTTCTGCGTTCTAATTCTGATCTGTCCCCATCTTCATCTCTAGATCAGAGTTAACACTAGGAATTAGTTAGCATGGAACCCAGGAACAATTCCTTCTGCAAAAACCAAAACTCTCCTAACTTTCCACATAGCATCAGTATACCAAACTCTACTTCATCCCTCTTTCTTCACGAGTGTGAGAGTAGAGACACAGCCGCGCCGGCTCATAATACCTGTATCTGTGCCCAGGGATTTTACCAGCTGGAGGAGAAGCTTGGTGAAGAACACGGCGAGGATGTGCTGGCTCTGCTGGCCTTTTGCTTCAGCTTTGAGAATAGGAGGTACTGTTGATAGGTATGACTGTCCCCTTAGTGCAGCCACGTCAGAAGAAAGCCAGCCAATGATCATATGACATTGGAAATTTCCACTCAGAAAGTGTGCACTGGTGGCAGTATCTTCTCATTTGCTCTCACATTCTGTGTCAGTCAAGAGTCATACAGAGCTAAAATGCGAAATTTTAAGGACATTTAGTAGATCAATGCAAACCTGAGTTTCAGCAGATACCATAAAGCTTGAAAAACAACAGCCATATTCAGAATCTCATGGGCTTAGAAAATAAGTAACGAGAAAATCAAAACAGTATAAAAATAAAAAGGAAAATACTCAGATTCTAGTTGGCATGATTTATACATTTTTCCTACTGTAGAATGGGGGTAGATCACAATTGTGACATATATGACAATAATAGATCTTTTTAGGTGAGCAGATCAGTGTGGTTGATATGGAAAAAATGTTTTTGTTCCTGTCTGCATATATATCTATGGTTAAATAAGGCACAGAGCCGTTCATTGCATTAAACAAATACTAATTTGTAAAGAAAACTGTAACAGTCGTGGTTACAATTAGTGGAACAGATGATTTGATGCGGATGCTTTAAGGGGCTACAGTCAAACCCATTTAACATTTCAAGTTTTTGTATTTCTGCTTCTGTCTTAATTTTCTTATTTGAAAAGAAAGTCTATTTCTTGAAACAATTTACCAAAAAACAAGAAAATTGGAAACTACTATTATTAAAATCAGTCAACCCAATATTTTAGGAATATATATTTACTGTAATCTATCAAGCAGTCTAGATACACTTAGGATGTTTATAAAAAATATAGGCCCAAGTTTATGTACATTTTCACATTTATCTATTATTGTCATATATATAACAATTGCGATCTACCCCCATTCTACAGTAGGAAAAATGTATAAATCATGCCAACTAGAATCTGAGTATTTTCCTTCTTATTTTTATAGGGTTTTGATTTTGTCGTTAATTATTTTCTAAGCCCCTGAAATTCTGAAGATGGCCGTTGTTTTCCAAGCTTTCTGGTAACTGCTGAAGCTCAGGTTTGCATTGATCCTCTAAATGTCCTTAAAATTTCACATTTTAGTTCTGTATGACTCTTGACTGACGCAGAATGTGAGAGCAAATGAGAAGATACTGCCACCAGTGCACACTTTCTGTGTGGAAATTTCCAGTGTCATAGGCTGCTTTAACAACATATATATAGTAACAACAACCGAAATCCACCGATATGTGAACTATACCATGTGAATTGTTTTCAAAAACTCTTTTCCTTAGTTTGAGATTCCTCCTTCTCCCCAAGTTAAGTGGTATTATCCATGTTT